AGGCTGAAGGTTCGAATCTCAGTGCCTCCAGTCGAAGTGTCCTTGGGCAAGACACTGAAACCCCCAAGTTGCCCCCGATGGTTAGAGCCATCGGTTGAGTTGGCGCTGCAGATGGCTGCCTCGGTTCTGTACCGGAAACAAATACCTTGTGTGTAAAGGTGATTATTGATTATGATTATCCTTAATTAATGTGTGGCGTTTGCATGGTATCTGCTTCAGGTCTGCTGGCTTCCTTCCACAGCTGCACAGTTTATCTTGATCGCTGACTCTAATCTGCCCATAGGTGTGGATGTGATGAGTAGTTCTGTGTCTCAGCCCTATGATAGACTGGCACTCTGGCCAGAGCGTACCCCACCTCCTGCCCAGTATCAGCTGGGAATGGCTCCAGCCCCCCTCCTGCAATTCTCTACACGATAAGGAGCACAGATAATAGATGGGTGGAAATTTACAGCAACATCAAACTCCAAAATGTCTGTGTTGCTCACTGAAATCTGCAGATTAGATTTTCATTTGGATGCATTACTAATGAAGAAAGAGTGCCTGTGATTGTTTTCAGGGAGATGTATACTTCAGTCCTGTGAGCACTACAAACAAAATTCCTACAAATGGATATTAAGACTAAATTAAATGAAACTGAATCGAACCAAAACTGTGCATGTCTAGATTCCACAAGGAGAAAACTTTGTGTCTTGATGAATATTATACATTTCTGAATCAGACTTTGACAAATCACTGAAGTATTCAGATAAAGCTCTTAACACACATGTACTTTGTTTATACCTGTAGCAGGTCTATGCTTTACCCAACTCTCTGCAGAAAACCTCAGACGCGGTAGGTTTTACACAAACAGGGAATGGCTGAGCAGTAAAACTAAAAGCAAAGCAGGCTTGCATGAGTGATGTCAAAGAGACATACAGTAAGTCAGTTCATATCGGAGCTCAATAATACGACTAAAACACTGAAAAATAAAATTATCTGGTGGCTGTTCATGCACAACACTATATTAAGAGTTTCACTGAACCCATACAAATTATTTTGTGAAATACAAAAGAGGTTCATAAAAACCTCCACATTCGCTTGACACCAGGGTGGAAGGTAGAGAAAGACAGTTTATGTGAAACATTACATTTATACTTCTGTTTACTCCAAGGTTACAAGTCATGTTCAACCCCAAAAGCAAACAATTTTTTTAATTTATTTTTTTAAGTACACAGATAGCACCTTGGCATTTCTGACAGCAGCCACATCTGTATTCACTCTGTTCATCTGCGACCCAGAGAAAGCCTTTTTATCAAAAATAATGGCGATGATTTCCAAAGCGACACTGCAGGCTACACTTCAAAGAGCGAGTACACGTGTATGTTGTGCCTTAAGACTTGTTGCTGAGCTACCAAAGCCTAATAAGCCAGTTAATTAATTATGCTTCACACGTATTTACTGCAGGAAAGTAGAAACAACAAAACACAGTTGAACTATCAAATCAAGCACTGCCTTTGTTTTCTTCTATCCCGGAACTGCTGCTCTCAGTTCCTTGCCGCCCCCAAAAAGAAAACTCAAGAAAATAAAGTGCACATGAAAATTTTTTGCATGGCAAACATGATTTTCCTGCAACAACCCGATTGGATCTGCCAGCTCTTACAATAACTTCCTCAGAGATGACTTCAAACTGCTACATCATTTGTATTTTCCTGACTTTCTAGTTTCAGAACATGCAAACAGAAGTCTCACTGATACAATTCCATTTTTGCAAGTAATGCTTCAAAGTAGAAATGCAAGCAGCTGTAGAAGGTGTTTTGACCTAAATGTTAACACGCTCAAACAGCAGTAACATGCTTACAAGTAGCAGGTTATCTAATGCTGTTCGATCATCTTATACAACTCAGACATTGAGACAATTCACAGGATAAATGAACAGTTTGCTGTTCCTCCAAGGTCATTAGGAGTCATCCTGTGGGGACCATGAAGGTTTGTGGTAAATTTCATCATAATCCATCAAAAAAAAAAAAAAAAAAAAAAAAAGACAAACAAAAACTATGCCACTTTCACCTCACCGTGGACCTTTGTTCTTCCACACACAAAAACACAGCCCCACAACATAAAACCTTCAACAAAGCACTTCACATTCAAACATTCCCTCACTCACTCACTCACTCACTCACTCACACACACACACACACACACACGACACTTGGGCAGATTAGCCACAGAATTTGCTGACTGCTGGCTCTGGAAATGCGACAAAGAGAGCTGCCTCACAACAAACAGCAAGAATACCATTTTAAGCCATGGAGTGTTGCTTCTGGAGAGGCTGTGCACATTCCTCTTCTTTCACACAACCAGGAGAGAGGAGGAGGATGAAAAACAGAAGTAAAATCCTTTACTGGAGCTCAAGCAGAGGAGAGGCGATACCACAGAGTATCAAAATCTAATGTGATTTAGAAAGGATGCCTGCAACAACACATTCTGATTTAAATATTTTGTACAAAGTGTCTTTACTCTCTGCAGCAAGAAATGAAATGCATGTTTGGACACTTGCTGGCAGCTCGCTCAGCCCCTTATTTATTGGTCAAACAGCATTCACAGCCAACAGGTACAGCTGCTGGTAATCTGGCCGGATGGCGTCGAGGCCTTCTGGGTAATCTGCGCTGCTCATCCTTATAGCCTTGCATCATCTTCTGACACCAAAATCACATCGACAGACAGTAACTGTGGCTGGCTGCTTGTCTAAGGAGCTGCAGCAGTGGTGTGGGATGATCACAAGGCCTTGGGTTTGGGTCCATGCAGGGCTCAGAAGTGATTGCTCTGTGTAGGAAGTAAAGATTACGCCTTCTCTTGCTGTGACCGTGATGAAAGCCCACAACACCTGTCATCACACAGAGATCTTTAATGATGTCCCACAGTGACCACACATACACCAAGAGAGTTTCCACATGTGCACACATAAAAAAAAGTCTTTTGAAGACTTGTAGTCATCTTCCTCACTACCTGAAGTCACCAGCAGGAAGCTCAACATACAATCACATTATTAAGAAGCTGGGAATGATCAGTTTACTCCAGGTGACAGGGACAAGTCTCGTCTGAGACATAGGAGAGAAGACAAACATCCTCAGCCTAATTAGTCGCCAGTTTGAACACCGGTACAATGCATTAGGAATTAGTAACAGATATTCAGGATAACCTACTCGTTTGGCCCACCACCATGAGCACTAATTAACTGCTTACTCACTACAATTCAGGCCATAAACTAAACTGCACTAAAATTAACAGATTAGCTCTACAGCCTTGTGAAGCTTTACACAAGAAGCTTGTCTGCACAAATGCACTCTTCTTATTAGATTAAATCACAGAGAAGGAAAGCTGGGGGGTGGGGGGGTGTGATATGCCATCCCACCCAACTAAGATGCTGGTGATTTGTCTTATTTACCCAAACAGCAGCTCCCAGGCACTCACCAACCAAATATGCTGCATTATAAGATGACCAAGTCCTGACACCACATGTCAGAGCACTAAAAAGTCTTTTTTCCCCAAAACAAACTAAACATCGACTTTTAATTCTGTGAAGCCGTTTCACTTATTTAACAGTGCCGTCAGCAGTTCACAGCTCTCAACTTCACGAAGAATGACTTCAACTATCTGATGGCTTGTGGGCAAATCACTTCTATCACCAGTCTCCAGATGGAGAGTCGGTCCCAACCGCATTCTGTGTCTCAGTTCCAGTGTGGTTGATGGTTCTTGCTGCTGGTGGGCTCTTTGTTTCCAGCACCTGACTCAGGCCAAGTTACAAATGCCTCCTCACCAGCAACATTTAATCAAACCATATCTGATCTTACACACAGTCTTCAGCTGAAGTGCCTTTTAATAACAATCATCTTTTCCAAAAACTGCAAGGACCTCCTTAGATTAGAGAGATAAAACCATACAGTCTGGTTTCACAGGCACATTATAAAAACTACTGGCTGACTGGTCCCTTTTGAAAAGACTTTGTGATTTTGGTGAAACTGAAGTCCATTTCACTTTTTATTGTTATTTCCATGGACATTTAAAGGACCAAGCTTTCTGCTGCAAGTTTCTGCTGGTTGGATGATGGAAGGGAACCTTTACATACAACTACTAACACTACAACAACATGATTGTGTCAGGGCAAAGATGCAGCAGGATTTGGGCCACAAAGATCACAGATGCAGCCCAACAGGCCAGAAACACATTTTACAACCAAGTATGTCAAATCAGCCTGAAGCACTGATGTAGAATGTACAACGACCTTTGCTCTCTGACCACTGTGGTTACTTCTGATTCCCCTATAACCAAACCCTCCCACATACAGGCACTGACATGTCCTCTCACATACACATACGCACAGAGATGGCCCTTGTACCACAGACCTCCCCTCACCCCTGCACTCTGCTCCACTGCCTCTATAATTAATGGAGCAGCCATGCTCCAGGTATTTAGCAGGAAACCAAGGAGATGTGCATTCATGAATATTCATGATAAAAGTTTCACATGTAGAAAAGCACAGCATCTCAAAGACTGTTCTCAACATATCATACTGTGCACACAGGAGGAGCAGTGTGTAGTTTTAAACTGTCCTCCTCCCTGCCGTCCCTGTGTCATCACTAATGAGGCTCTGCATGCTCAACTAATCCCCCTATTTCTGTCCACAAACATAATAAAAAACATAAAAGTGACAGCCAATTATCCCAGCTAAAGAAGTGGACTTCCTAGATTTACCATGATATAATAATCAACTTAATAATGACCTCCTCCTGTGTTTTGGTCAACATAGCAGGAGAACAATGTAGTCGCAGGTGACAAATTTAAACTTCATTAATGGATTCTAAATTACACAAACAAATATTATCCCTATTATACAGCCGTGCTGTTTACTTTTGCAATAGCATTTTGCTTTTAGGGACAGCTACGCCGCGTTTTATTCTTTTAGATAGAAGCTTACACTATATGTTTGATTAATATTAATACCCAGTAATGGTTGTACTCACTGAGAAACCTGCCCAGAAGGGACACGAGTGCCGGACTCTGGGTGACGTGGTTAGAGCCAGAGCCGCAAAGCTAACGGCGAGGATGAGACTCCCCAGGACCATCTGAGAGACTCCCAGACCCAGCATGATCCTCGTCCGGGTCCGGTACTCCCGTAGCCGGGACAGGCTGCGGGACAGCGAAGCCGGGATCAGAGACACCGGGCCGCCGATGGCGCTGCTGCTGCCGCGGGGCAGCGCGTTCACCGGCATTGCCACTGAAAGGTACGACCAACCGGGTGAATGACGAATGCAACTGCACCAGAGAAGGACAATGTCATCCAATAACAACCAAATCGTTGTGTTTCAACCTGCAGTACGGTGCTAGACGGTGTAACTCAAGGTCAATGTCCGATGTGGATAATCTCCATCAATTAAGACGCACGGGGTCGCTCCAATTAGAGATGCGCTGCGGCGGATGTAGGGAGAAACGTGAGAAAAGAGCGCACTGGACGAAGCGCCAGATCTGTTTAGCATAACACATATGAAGAGCACGAATATTTTCAAGTCAAATTTAACAAAATAAGCCGCTGCAGTTCTCAGTGCCTGCTCCATCAAAGAGACCATTCCTCAAAAGTCAACACATACAAAAAGCAAAAACCAAAAACGCACCACCCTGCCGTCAAGCAGCCTTGCACCATTGTCACGCTGTCATGCTCGCCTCCGCAGGCTCCCCAACAAGTCAAAGCCAGAGACTAAGACTAGATAAGAGGCGTGAATCAAAGGTGAGCTCGCACTATTTGAGGACTAAGCTGGGGGGGAAAAAAAACCCATCCAAACAGTTGAAATCGCGCGGAAATTTGCGGGGCTTGTATGAATATCTGCAGTTCTGATCGCGCAACGCTTCTTCTGTGTGAGCCACCAGCCGCGGCTTTTAGACGACAGCAAAATCGAAGAGTGAGGACAGGAGGTGCACACTGCGTCCTGGAGATGTGCCTCTCCACGCGTCTGGCGGCGAGCAGCAGGGAGTCTGTTTTACTATGGTAGTGGAGGAGGGGAGGTGAGGAGGTGAGGAGGAGGGGAGGTGGGCGCTTTACTATCAGGCAACATCAGAAAACCAACGCGTGATTTGTTGCCGCTGCTGGTGATGTAATGGTGGATGAAAACGTGGTAGGACCGGGTCTCCGAGGGTCACCATAAGCATGAAGCCAAGAACCGAGCTTTAGTTTTAGGAAAGAATGCGCATTATGGACGAGTTTGGTCTTGCTTGAAAAGGTTACGCTCAGTCTTCTTACATTTTCCCTATTTAAGTAGGATTCAATTGGGGAAAGGAGTTACAGAAATGTAGATTTACCTGTTATAAAACAAAGGTCAACTTCAGTACAGGACTACACTGACTCTGCTGTCCTTCCTCATCCAGGTTATACGTAACGGTCCTTGCAGGTAGTGAGGATTTAGCCTCAATTAGACTGGCTGCACATTAATAACCAATCAGTGGTCAGAAAATGTCCTGACAGGCTTGAGCTTGCCCAGGTTTTTTGGGTTATGACCCATTAAAAGAATCAGTCTACTTCTACTTGTACATAAGAGGTTATGGAGCTGTGAGCAGTTAATCCGAACATGACTTTTTTTTTGTCTCAAAATTTAATAACGAGGCTGAAAGAAGTGAAACTATCCAGTATTTTACAAAAATGTAACAATAGAAAAGGTCAAGAAAACATTTAAAAATGTATTAATATGACTTCTCTATTGAACAATCTGCCGAGTGACATTAAACTTCGGTATTTCTGACTTTGTGCAGCGGATTTGTTGGGCTCACCTGCGCCACCTAGCTGTGAAACCTGAACCATGGTGCTGTGATGATATACAGCTGTTATTTGAAGTTATTTGAAGATGACTGGCAAAACCTGATGAGCTTTTCCATCAGCTGTTTCCCCTCTGGGTCATTTTGAGAACTTGTAATTCAGGCAAACACAATCTCAAGACGACCTTTTGACAAAAACAAAAAGAGTAAAAGAAATCATCTTGGAGGTAAAAATCCTTACACACACTTATTTTAAAAATGATTTTATTAATACAGTGGTATGCTTAAAGTTGTGTTGTAGAGGAGGGGGGAAAAGTCAGCCACACGTGAAGAGCTAATATTCAATTAAAGCCATGTTATATCTAAAAATAAAATGGTACTGGTGTGCCATACATAATATATTGTCTATTAGTACAAAAATACATTTGAGGGCACACAATACAGCATCTAGTATCACAAATCAGTGAGGGGGACACTTGGAGAGCACACCCTTTTCAGAGAACATGTTTTAAATGCTTTTTAACCCATGTATTTTCCTGATCCTTAAATAGCCCTAAAGACCTTTTTTGTGACACAACATAGTGTGAATATACTGGTAGAAAAGGTGTGATGCATTATTTTTAGGTTATAAGTTCCAAGGCTTGAGGGTATATCCAGAATACAAAGATAACCGCTTTCACTTTGTTCCACTTTTTAAAATGTTTTCTCCAAGTTTTATACAAAAAAAAAAGACATACAAAAACTTCATTTACAAACAAAAGAAACAAGGCAATATGCTTGCTTTATATACAGCCACTTCTTCTTCTTCTGTTGTTTTAAGTAATGCATAGCAGATAAAAGAAGAGCACACCTTCATTATCCTGTATCAACTGTTATTGTGTGCTAAACCCAAGTTCATTTGTACAGTGGGTTCACAGAAAATGGCTAAACAAATGCTATTATACCATAATTTATCATAACTTATTTTGTTTTATGAAAAGTGAATAATCTGCAGTTAAGGCATCACTGCTCATTTGTATGCGAGTGCAAAGAGAAAAAAAGAAACAGAAGAGAAGACAGAAAGAGACGCAGATGTGAGGAAGGAACTGAGGAGGCTACAGGACCTGAGTAAAGAACATGCATAGATCTCCCTCAGGCTGGAAGGAGAGACGTGGTGCTCCGTAGGAAAGTTAGCTACAAGTTATTACTGTATGAACAGGAAGAATAAAGGAAGAAGTGAAGGAAGAACGCCTCTAAAAGTTTGCTGCTGGGGTTCATATCCAGATTGCGTTTTGCCAGCTCCTTCAGCAGATACTTGCAAACGTCATCATCTCCGGTTTCATCTCACCTCTGTCCGACTCAAACCTTCAGTAAATTCCCTCAGTGTGTAAAAACATCTGTCTTCAGTCACCTGAACTGAAAAACAACAAGACTGACTTCATGGGTAATGTTTCAGTACATCTTCTCTGTACTACTATATATATATATACACTGTATGCATATACAGCATATATACACACACCAACACAGATCTTTGAAACATGTACCCTACCTCAAAAGCATTTGTCTTCATCAATGTCAAAAACTTAGCTTAAACATTGCCTTATATATAGTGCCAATCCTCAGTGGCTCGTGTTCTGCATCAATGGTTTCATTTCATCTCAAAACTTCTAATTGGACAAAAGCTTAAAGACCATCAAGTGTTTTGCCTTCATCCGCGGGTGCAGTAAACAGCACTGACTGAACCTTCTTTATTCTCCATAATGTGGTGTGTCTCTATATGTGGAGTGTACATGTGTGTGTCCATCGTCTTCATTTTATCCACCTTCCTTCCACAGTCGGCAACATCACACCTGCTGGCCCGTCCTTAAAAGTGGTCAATGAGCACCGAAACACAGTTGGCTCCCACCATGTAGTTGGGATCCCCGGGGAGAGACTTGTTCTGCCAGCTTTTTGGGTCACCTGGGGACAGACAGATTGAGTGGGTAGTGAGTGACTACAGCTGCTTTTTATTGAAGACTTCTAGCTGTAATTCATTTCATAAGCACTATTCACTTGCTAAATCCTCTTCATACCACAGCGCTGACTGCAGAACTTGATTATATCTATTGTCTGCAAGCTGCGTTAAGTGACATCGTATGTTTGCAGCCTATATCCGAGCACAAACACAAGACTTAGTGAAAGCAATTCCATATTTTTATTGAATGTCTCTGGCCTCTTGTTGACTACAAATTAAACCATTGTCAGTGTGGGGTCTCAGTGCAATTGCAATTATATACATACAGGTCTGTGCCAAGAGGAAAGTTCCAGTGATCCATCACAGTAAGCAGAGTGAGCCTGGCAGAGGTCCATTGATACAGCACAGACTAATTATACTATACATGCAGAAGTTTCAATAGTCTCCTCATTGACATTAACTTTCAATCTTGTGCTAAAGGCTGGGTGATATAAAGAGGTAAATGTCACAGTAACGAGAGGACCATCAGGTATGCACACATAACTCAGACACAATCAAGGTTTTAAGACTGTAGTTTTGTTTCAATGCCTTTATCAAATACAGTATACTCGTATCATTAGGCTCACATTATTGATTTCCCTGGCTGCCGTGTGCGGGGCTCATTGATTAACTGGGGCAACTGTGGCTCAGGAGGAAGAGCAGGTAAGACACTGAACCCCAAATTGTTCCCAATGGACGGGCTACCACAGTAGCTCACTGCCACTGATGTTATGAAGAGGCAAGAAGTATTTTGAGAGGGGTGCTGGCCCGCATCCAGAGCAGTATACCGGACACCCTGGACCCCCTGCAGTATGCCTACTGGCCCAACGGGGCCACCTCAGATGCCATCGCGGCTGCCCTCCACTATTCCCTTTCTCACCTGGAAAATGGAGACTCCTACATCAGGATACTCTTCATTGACTACAGCTCCGCCTTCAACACAGCTGTCCCCCACAAACTCACCCACAAACTGTCCACACTGGGTCTGCACCCCACCCTCTGTGACTGGGTCCTGGACTTTCTGACTGGCAGGCCCCAGACTGTCAGGATTGGCAATAGGATCTCAGCCAGCATTGTTACAAACACTGGCACCCCACAGGGATATGTCCTCACTCCCATCCTCTACATCCCCATGACTGTGTCGCCTCCCACAAAGACAACATCATCCTAAAGTTTGCGGACCACACCA